CTTCTCCTTATTCCATCCTTTGATGGAATTATTAAAGTTGAGCTTTCTCATTTGCAACTTTCTTGGTCTGGAGGGGGGTATAATTTATCTGGGCTAGGAAAACTAAATACAGTTCATTTATGCAGAGAACTCTTAAAAATCCACTAATATTTCAGTTAAATCCTTTTTTATCATTATTTATTATCCCCTTTACAGTCCCGAGTCCTTAATAACATGGAAAAAGCCCAAAGGAAACTGAAAAAATATTGTTTTCTTTTAGCTTTTAACTGCACAAGTTTGTTTTTATTATTCATATTCCAACTAGAACTCAAAATTCCTGCTTGGAATTGTCTACACTGGGAAGAGACAAAATCATCTAGGACACATAATGATGGTATTAACTTGAATTGCTTTTACCTACATCAATAATAGACTTCCCAGCTTCTTTTTCTTCATTATCAAAGCAACTTCTTTTGACAAAAATTACATTATAATGAGATTGCTTAAAATGGTTAGAGGTGTAGTTTTTCCAATAAAGCAGAATTTGTGTGTGGGGGGTGTGTGTGTGTCTGTGTGTGTGTATGTGTTTTGTCTATTTTAATGCAGTTTATCCTTACTGAACTAAAACCCTGGAGTCATTAACACTATGGTCTAACCACCTGAACTAATTGTGCAAGGATGAGCAGAGCTGGTAGTACCATGTTTATAAACTGTGCACAAGGCTATTTTCAGTCTTGCTGTGAGAGGTCTAAGGGCTGGACACATGAGCGATACTACCTTGATGACAAATTTCTATAATTGCCTTTTCTAACTTACCAAAGAGAATCCTTGGCTCTGCCACCAGGTAGAAAAGAAGAGTAAGTACTTAGATTCACAGTGAGCCTGCTCAGTGCCAGGTATTTTTTTTTAACAAATAGTTTATTGTCAAGTTGTTTTCCATATAACACCCAGTGCTCATCCCCACAAGTGCCCCCCTCCATGCCCATCCCCCCTCCCCCCCAACATCCATCAGTTTGTTCTCAGCATTCAAGAGTCTCTCATGGTTTGCTTCTCTCTCTCTCCCCCACTGTTTCCCCCCCTTCTTCTCCCCTATGGTCCTCCGTTAAGTTCCTCCTAACCCTCCTTTACGTGTAAACATATGGTATTTGTCCTTCTCTGCCTGACTTATTTTGCTCAGCATAACACCCTCAAGGTCCATCCATGTTGCTACACATGGCCAGATTTCATTCTTTCTCATTGCCATGTAGTATTCCATGGTATAGATAAACCACATCTTCTTGATCCATTGGTCCGTTGATGGACACTTAGGCTCTTACCATGTTTAGTGCCAGGTATTTTTATACACTGTTCATTTGAGTCCTAAAATAGGCCTATGCGTAATTATTATCATCTCTGTTTTATGAGATGAACCCCAAGGTTCAAGGAGTTTATGTTATTTACCAAATATGGAGAGAATTTTAAATGTGTTTCAATTAACAAAAAAAAAAAAAAAAAAAAAAAAAAAAAAAAAAAAAAAAAAAAAAAAAAAAAAAAAAAAAAAAAAAAAAAAAAAAAAAAAAAAAAGAGCTGCTGAATGTCTTTTAAAATCTCCAGCGTTAATTCTTCTGTGGATATTTCTGCTTCAGTGGGACTTAATATAAATTCTCCATATCCTAGCATCAATACTGAGCTATAATTTTCTATAATTCTGACTGTACTTTTATCATCCATGCTCCTTTCTCTAGATTTACTCAGGTAGAGCCAATGAATGAAGGTAGTTTCTGAAAGGCAATCTGTTCTACTAGCATCAAAGAACATCTAGGATACATATCGTCATGTACTTTCAACATTGTTCTACAATGTGGTGTGGAGACAATAAGGCCTAGTGTGTGTATGTCTTCCTTACTATGCAGCATCTCACAGTCAGCCTTTTAGCAGCCATCTGTTCCCACACCCCACCCACTCTTGAGCATGTATAATCAAAGCACAGCAATGTCTTGATAATGATAATAATAAAAACAAAGATTTTGTGGCTATCAGGTTTAAAGAGGTTAGTACAAAACTATCACAGGTGTTTCATATTCTCAGGGATCTTTTTACAGTAAAATTTCTCCCACAGGGTTATATTATAAGGAATTGATTGACTTTCAACCAAGATGATTTGGCAGAATAATGAGGTGTAGCAGAATTTATTATAGCTACTAGTGGTATGACTACAATTTAAACTACAGTGACAAGTCCTGCTGCTACTATTTCAATTACCTTGGCTGCCAACAAACATTTATAAGGCATTTAATATCTTCCATAAACTGTTCCAAGAAATTATATCTTTAGCCTTTGAAAAAACACTTTGGAGAAAGTACTATTATTATCCCTTTTAAGAGGGGGAGAGGCTCAGAAATTTTAAGTAAATTTCTCATATGTAACTGGCAGCTGGTAGAGTGGATTCACATCCTAACAATCTTTTTCTCTCTTCTGGCTTCTACCTCTTGCTGCTTCTGGTAGTAGCACAGCAAGCAAAAAGTCACATGTGTCTAAGTAAAATACTCTGGTCTTAACCACCACATTATATTGCTGTTTGATAAAGAACACTAATAATTAAAATCTTAAGTTTTAAATTGTCTTTAACAATGTATGTAATGAAAGAAAGGGAGAGAGAGAGAAAGAGAGGGAAAGAAAGAAAAGAAAGAAAGAAAGAAAGAAAGAAAGAAAGAAAGAAAGAAAGAAAGAAAGAAAGAGAAAGAAAGAAAGAAAGAAAGAAAGAAAGAAAGAAAGAAAGAAAGAAAGAAAGAAAGAAAGAAAGGAAAAGAAAAGAGCCTTCCCAGCCAACTTACTTTTCATAGAATGAGGTATGATAGTGACAAAGAATCATTCCCTGTGAAGACTATTCAAAGAAAAAAATACAATTGATTACAAAACTATGTGCTAACTTTTAAAATATGACAGAAATGAAGTAAAAATTGCATTATATATATAGAGAGAGAGACAGAGAGAGAGAGCATTAGGGAGGATTCAGATTCTTCCTATGATGTTTTCAGTATCATTTTCATTGGCTGATTTATTAAAAATAGAGAACGACATAGAGTTGCCTTCACTGTTCTGAGTATTACAGGTGAGAATCTGTTAACATATGATGTAATGGAGACAAGAATTGAAAATCATACTTCTGGAGAATCAAGGTTACCAGATACATTGGCTATCAAAAATCTAAACAAATAACAAAATGCTTATTCCCTCTTTCCCCTTTCTGTTCTCTTGCTTTCATTTTCTCTTTCTTTCTCTCTCTATATGTGAATATGAAATCCCTAATGCACTAGAAGAGCTATACAACTTGGGAATTTTTCTAATATAAGATTATATAATGATAATAATTGATGGTTTTATAATTCTCATGTATGAAAGAAATTAAAATGTAAATTCAAGTTATTTATATATTTATTTAATTAATTTAGGATATAATTTATGTGGGAAATCCTTTTTACTAAGAAATACTTTGTCTATGACCAAACTTGAGTTAAGCTCCTTTGATACCTCTTTTTGAGTAGGTCTGAAGCTGGACTCTGTCCTTAGCCATCTTAGTCCAGTTTTAGCAAAAGTTCTGTTAAGTTAGTTTAGTGAATATGTCTAACCCTCCAATATCTGGTCAGATTTCTCATCTCCCTGTCATATTACCCTGTCCTGCCTTCAGGAAGACTCCTGTTGAGTTAGTCTACCAAGAATCCCTCCAGCTTTGTTGTTTTCTCTTCCCAACTTGCCGCTTAACTATAAATTTCTGTTTGCCCTTGCCATATCAAGAGTTGAGCCTCATTTCTCCTCTCTCTGGTAAAATACCCATTGTAGTAATGCCTCTTCATTGAATTCTTACTTACTGTCTTTAACAAATGTCATGGATAATTTGTTCTTCAATACCACAAAGGAAAAATTTCATAAGTTTTATCTACCAAATCTAATACTTACATGGCTAAAGGCATCCATTCTGTGATATTTTGTTACAACATCTGAACAGTCTAGACATACACTAAAGCCTATATTCTCTCATATTAATGCAAAATTACACCTAAATCTCCTCTTGCTGTTTCTGGTATTTTGCACAGCATGCAAAAACACGGAGATTTTTTTTATTAGTAATTGATAGAAGTCAGAAAATTAATAAGATATATAACATTTGAGCATCACTACTGATCAACTTGACTTAAATTATGTTTATAGACTATGTCATCCAACAACCACAGAATATGTATTCATTTCAAGCATACATGAGGTATTTACCAACATGAACCATATGCTAGGCCATAAACAAGTTTTAAACAATTTAAAATAGATGAAGTCATACAGAGTATATGCTACGAGTAATATATAATGAATTAAAAATGAATAACAAAAAAATTAGAAAATTCCAAAGTTTTTGGAAATTACTTCTAAGTAACCTATGGATCAAGAAAATATTACAAAAGAAATCAAGAACATTTTGTATTGAGTGAAAATAAAAATGAACTTGAAAATTTGGGAGATGCAGCTAAAATAGTCTTTAAAAAGAGTATAACACTAAATACTCACATTTGAAAAACATGAAATATCAAAAATCAATGATGTAAGCTTCAATTTTTTGTAATCCATTGAAAGCCAGTGCTCAAATCCTTTCTAAAAAGTATAGTTGACTCTTACATTTATATCATGTTTCCATGTTTCTTCCTCCTTATAAGTTTCTTTCAGCTAATGAGTGAAAACAGCCAGTGGAGACACAGTCATCAAGTTATCATTTAAAGAAACAATCCTTCCAGATAATAATTCTGACACTTTCAATCACTTTCTCTTTTCTCAGAGAGTGATATTTGAAGCCCTTTTCTGTGTGTGTGTCCTTTTATAATTTACATATTTTCAGTAAGGGAAGATCCCATCACAGGATTTTATTTTACAATCCTTTCTTGAATATTCAAAATTCTAATTTTCATTTTGCTGTTATGTTTTGAATTCTGAGTTTCTTGCTGCCTAGTACTGCATTGGATATGGTTCTGTTTAGGAACTTAGTTTCTGATACTTACCTGGCAGGGGAGATACCATGATCAAGGTACATAGTTTCTGTGCTCTCTTGCGACGTTTTCAGTTATGGGCTACCATGGCTATCAAAATGGCCTGTAGCTAGGGAAACCTGTAAGCCAAAGAAAGATATTATTTCCTTCCACTATTTTTGGGTGAGCTGGATACCTATCATCAGTAAACTTAGAAGTGTTATTAATGCCAATATATTATTTTTCTTTCTATGGAATATATACCTAGTGTTGTTTGTTGGATTTGGCTATAATTTCTCCTCATTCTTTTCTTTCCTTTTCCACATGTTTGATTTTCTAATATAAATATAAATTTTGTGCTTGAATTTTTTTACGTGGGTAATTTGAAATCAGTATTCATCCTAATTCCTTGATCACCCTCACTGCTGAGCTGAATAATCCCATACCCAAAGATTCTTCCCTTTTTCTTTTTAACCAATATAAAGCTGGCTAACCATGGTCTCACCCAAGATAAATAAAAGGAAAGAAACAAGCATCTGTCTGGCTTTTCTTATAAGGGCTATTTTTAAATGAGTCAAAACGTTCATGAGAGAAACTCTCCTTTATGTAACAATTAGAGCTAATAAACTCAAGGGAAATGAATGAAATAACTCAAATCAAATATAGTGGATCAAAGCAATGATGTCCAATGATGTTTGCCAATTCAAAAGTCAAAGATAAACTTTAAAATGAATGTGTCAGGTTGACATCAATGGTAAAATTTATGTTTTACCAAGAATGTACAATAGGAAATATTCATAACCAAATATATTTATTAAAAGTTTTTATACCTTGGGGTGCCTGGTTGGTTCAGTCAGTTGAGCTTCTGACTAGTGATTTCAGCTCAGGTCATGATCTCACTGTTTGTGAGATTGAACTTCACATCAGGCTCTGTGCTGACAGTATGGAGCCTTTTGGGGATTCTCTCTTTCTTCCTCTTTCTCTGTCCCTCTCTGGCTTGTGCTGTCTCTCTCTGTCTCTGTCTCTGTCTCTCTCTCTCTCTCCCCCTCTCAATGAATGAATGACTAAATTGATTTTGTACTTGAATCTAAGCCTGTTTTTATACCTAACCCTCAATTAACTTATAAGATAGTTAGGAGAAAAAGGATCATGACAAATAATATCACACTTTAAAGAATGTGGAAAATTACACCAGAGACATGACATATGGAGAACACATATGGAGGAAAATGTTGGGAGAGAGAACCACTCCTGATAAAAAGAGATGTCTGAGAATATCAGCTGAATTCAATGTGAGACTTTAGGTGGACCCTTATTAAAACAATCAAATAAAAAAACCTATACAGATTTTTTTTTAATTGAACTAAATGAATATAGACACTGTATTTGATTCCTTGTGAAATCTTTATTGGTAATTAGTAAGGGTGCAATCAGTAAAAATAAATAACTAATGCTTAATTATTATTGGATATGGTTACTGCATTTTTATTAAATTAAAAAATCCTTATGTGCTAGAAATATTTACTAATATATTTATAGTTTAAATGATCAGATGTCTAGGAGTTACTTTATAATGGCTGCTTCAGAAAAAAAATAAAGTGAGGTGAGGTGGTGGAGTAAATGGAACAAGAATGTAGAAACTGAATCCCAGAAGATTTAGTTTACTGTCATCTCTATTTTTGTGTATGTGAAAACTGCAATTATAGAACATTAATTTATAAAGACTCTATGGATCAGCTACATGAATCCAAATGATTATCCTCTACTTATATCTCCCTATTTCAGTTCTAAATACAATGCAAACAGCATCAAAAGGAGCTTAATTTTAGGAAACCTATTGATAACTGTATACCTAGACCTCTCATCAATAATTTAAAGCTAACTTCTTAGAGCTTACTGTGTAGAGTGATTGTATAATTTATATAATTATAATTTATATAATTTTATAATATTAGTATGAAACAGGAGGCCAACAGCATAAACATGGGAAATCCAAACAGCAAATCACATAAGGGTATTTTATTTTTATTCATTTTAAAAGAACTGCTTAAAACTTAGGCTGAAGAAAGGGGAAAGATTCTACCCATAAAGCATAACAAAATATAGTCAATCTTAATTGTACCTGTAGTTCAGGTCACTCCAAGCCTGTGTAGTTCAAGGACACACTTGTGGCTTGTACATGATGACTAATGAGACAATGAAGCTCACTCAACTGTGAATCATGTGCTCTCTGCCCTACTTGCTTAGACTTTTCCTGTATTTGGTTAAGGCTTATTCAGCCTCCTGTATAAATATAAACAAACACTTCCCAAAGAACAAAGCTGCCATGAGCCACAGAGGTACAAGAAGGTCAAAATAATATATTGCTTCAGGCTTTAAGTTGTTTAAGCAAGATGCCTCAAACTGTCAAGAAAAAAGTAATTGTGCTTGGATATACCAAATGCTTTAAACTTTAAATGAGATTTTGCATCCCTCTACTGATTAATTCTACTCATGTTTATTTTCCAAGGGTTGTAGAATAAGAGACCATAACCTAATATTCCATTTAAATGAAATTATCTCAAATCTACAGATTCTTCTATGATCCGTATCAATTGTAAAGACAGAGACTTTTCCCCAATGCAAAAAACTCATATGTCTATATCTGTAGTCATATTTAAAGAGGGAAAACACAGACTGATCCAAACATACCAATTGTCTGTTCCTAACTCACCAATCAGATTTGTCACTCCTCCCAGGAGAAAGAAGTCCAGGCTGGTACACTGATCAATGCCTTTCCCCAGGAAAATATAAGAGAAATGAACTATTAACACTATCAATGGCAAAATAAGGAAGATGTAGGAGTTCTTTCATATATTAAGTAATAGCTGACTAGTACTTAAGTAGAAACAGATAGCGATAAAATTACCTCTATTAGTAGTTAAATCTTTTTAATCATATTCTATAATAAACATTTACCTATCAGAGACTTTGATTTATATACTTTTCTCCTGATGAAACAATCATCTCGTTAGAAAAGCTCATGATTCTCCTGAAAGAGTAATCTGTTGTTATTAGTAGTAGTATTAGTATTACTAATATTAATGTTTATAATAATTTTAATTCTCTTGGCTATGCTTTACCTTCTCCCTTAGAAAGAAACTTAACTCACAAGGACATAAGTATAGGCTTAACTCTTAAGCTAGAACAGCTTATTAGTCATGCAATCATAAACATTTTATGTTATATTCACAACCTAAAATCAATAACTTTCTCTAGACTATATAGAAAAGTTTGTTTATTGGAAATGAGAAATACTAGAGAATGGAAGAATAAAATTGTAATTCATTATCATAACATTTACTAGCTCTGTGGCTCATAAATTGACATAACCTCAAGATTTTGAAATGTCACCTCCAAAAGAAAAAACCTGTATACAGATTGACTGAGAAAATGTCTATTAAATTTGTTGGAAAATGTTGAAAATTAACCATTAAATTAAAATCGTTAGACAGCAGAGCATGTTTTCTATTCCCTACTAAACCATTGTTATTAATTAAAAAACCTGCCAAGATATTTTTTTCTTCATTTAGAGAAAGTATCATATGAAAGCAGGAAAGTATTAGTACACCTTGAACATGGATTTACATGTTATCTTTTTTCAAAATTTTTTATAGTTTATTTATTTTTGAGACAGAGAGACAGAGCATGAGTGGGGGAAGGGCCGAGAAAGAGGGAGACACAGAATCTGAAACAGGCTCCAGGCTCTGAGCTGTCAGCACAGAGCCCGACGAGGGACTCGAACCCATGAACCGTGAGATCATGCCCTGAGCTGAAGACAGATGCTTAACCAACTGAGCCACCCAGGTGCCTCATATTTTTTTAAATCTTTTTATAGTTTATTTGTTTTTGGGACACAGAGAGAGCATGAGTGGGACTTGTTATCTTGGAGTACAGAATTTTAAAGCCCAAACCATTGAGGATATACTTATCAAAACTGTGTAGTAAATATAAACTTTCCTCATATTAAAAGAGACTGCTAAATATATATTTTCAGGACTCACTGAAGTTTGGCCAAACTAAACTTTCTGGTAAAATAAGAGTTGAGTGGTGGGTGAGTTGTTAATGAAGTCACTAATGGAGAATGCAATGAAATTTCTTCTTTCTTCTAAGGAGTATTTTTTTCCCCTCTTTTATTATTCTCCTTCACAAGTTGATGGATTAAGAGTGTTTGTAGAAACGAGAGACTAACATTGCATTCCCAAGATCTATAGTTTATAAGATGTAGTTGTTCACATACAATCAAGAAGAATGCAATAGAATAGGTTTTGGGAGTACCTGATGTGTCATACCAATTTCTATTTAGAACTTGAAAAGTTAGGGTGCCAACTCAAAGAGCTAATAGGGGAGCAAGCCCCACAAGAAAGATTAGCATCCTGCATTCCCAATGTTTGACATGGAAAAGATGTATGAGTTGCCTTCAGAAAAGAAGATTTTAGATGAGGAAAATATGCTGGATAATCTTTATGAGACTGTATTAAAGAAAGTGGAGAAAGGATTTAGAACATATTAGGAGTAAGAAATGTGACGTGAACTACCATGGTAATCCCTGAGAAATAGGCACAATTCCTCCTTCCCCTGACCAGAATAGTCAGAAGAAAAAGAAGGTGAAGAAAATGAAAAAGGAAAATAGGTTTATCTTCCCTAGTGAAAAGCCCCCAAGCCATGTGTGAGGACTTGAACTAAAAGGAAAAGAGAATCTTTGAACTGGATATGCAAATAAAGTTTCTTTTTAAGCAAGCCTGAACTTTTAAATATTAAGATTGGGTTTTGACCATGAAAGACTCTTGAATACTGAAAACAAACTGAGGACTGATGGGTGTGTGTATGTGGGTGGAGGGGAGATGGGCATGGAGGAGGGCACTTGTGGGGATGAGCACTTGGTGTTATATGGAAACCAACTTGACAATAAACTATTTGTAAAAAAAAAAAAAATAAAGATTGGGTTTTGAGTATCCAAACTTACTCTTCTTGTAACTGAAACTGATTATAAATTGGTTGCTTCTGCTGAGGGCATTGAACATATCCAACAATGCATGTTGAATGTAATGTAGGATAAATAAAGACTAAAAGTCCTGCCTATCTATTAAACTGGCTACTTATTTTCATATGACAATATATTATCTTCAAATTCCATCCATTTACTATTTCAGTGAAGCCTTGATTCATTATTACATTTATCAACCTCCCTTTACAAGAATTCAAAATTAAGACTATTTCATATGGATTTTGTTATTATATCCTAACCACTCATCCCAAAACATAAACTCTTTTGGTTCCTATTCTTCTGTCCTTTATGCTGAGAAACAGACCCTTTTAATTTTTGTGGCCAGCTCAGTCATTCCTTATAATAAAACAATACAGAAAGTTCTAATATCTACCCCAAATTCTCCCCCCAATCTTCATTTTCTCTTTACTTCTTACCATTTAACTATTTTTTTTTAAACTTAAATTAGAAGAGTATGTTCCGAAAAAGATCTTACTCTATGCCTATGTTTTGATTATCTCTTCTTCCTCACACTTCTCATAAACAGATCAATGGCTAGTGTTAGATAGACTCATGAAAGACAAAGGAAAAAAAGGTAGGGATTTCTGAGTAATAATAATAAAGTTTAATTAAATGAACAGAAGCCATAAAGACAAATACATCATTCATTGAAAGCAACCAAATAAAGAAAATTGTATAGATGAATGCTGACAAATTCAAGAAGGAACAATTAAGATAAGAGACAGAGATTTTTCTCATAGTGTGGCTTTAACATCAGTCTATGTCAGAAGTATTACTTATGGGTGAACATGAATACTGAAAAGTCTCACATACAACCTGATTTGGGGAGAATAGGAGGGAGATATTCTGTTTATCTGTCCTCTCTTCTTACTGGCAGGAGGATGGTGTGTAGAGTGGAAAGTAAGAACAGAAAGCTTAGCTGGGGAGAGATAATGGAAAGAAGAAAGCCAATAGTAAGAGTTGATTCTTCATACAAAGGATACAGGATTTTGCTGAAATGGAGGAACAGTCTGAATTCATGAGACTTTCCCCCATAGAAGCAGGATATCTAGACATCACTTGGAGAAAAGGATTCTTTCTCAGAAGATAGACTCAAATATACTCCAACAAAGACTGCATCTGGTCATCAGGCCGCAGAGATGATAAATAGGTAAAACTAATTTCAACACTAGATTATAAGGATCATATACCATGATCAAGTGGAATTTATTTAAGGGATACAAGGCTGGTTTAATATCTTCAAATCATTGAATGTGATACACCACATTAGCAAAATGAAGGATAACAATTATATGATCATTTCAAGAGATGCAGAAAAAGCATTTGACAAAACCCAGTATCCATTTATGACAAAAACTCTCAGCAAAAGAGGTGGGAATGAATGTGCCTCAACATAATAAAGACCATATATGACAAGACCAGAGCTAATAGTGTACTCAATAGTAAAAAGCTGGAAAATTTTCCTCTAATCTCAGGAACAAGACAAGGATGTCCATTCCCATCAGTTCTGTCCAACATAGTACTAGAAGTCTTAGCTAGAGGAACTGATAAGAACAAGAAATAAATAAAATTGGAAAGGAAGAAGTAAAACTGTCACTGTTTGCAGAAGACATGAGGCTATATACAGAAAATCCTAAAGACTCTATCAAAAAACTATTAGAATAAATGAATTCAGTAAAACTTCAGGATACAAAATCAATATGCAAAAATATGTTGCATTTCTATACAATAATAATGAACTATCAGAGAGAGAATTTAAGAAAACAATCCTATTTGCATTTGCATCAAAATAATAAAATACATAGGAATAGATTTAATACAGACGAAAGACCTATATACTGAAAACTGTAGGATATTGTAGTAAGAAACTGAAGACACAAATAAATGGAAAAATATTCCATGCTCAAATACCCAAAACAATATACAGATACAGTGCAATTCCTCTTGAAAGTCCAATGGCATTTTTCACAGACATAAACAATCCTAAAATGTATATGGAACCACAAAAGTCTCCTACTAGCCAACACAATCTTAAGAAAGAAGTACAAAGCTGGAGGCATCATTCTCCCTGAATTCAAACTATATTACAAATTTTTAGTAATTAAAACCCTATAGTATTGCTATAGGAATAGGCACATAAATCAATGGACAGCCTTGAAATAAACACATGAATAGAGGTCAATTAATTTAGGGCAAATGAGACAAGAATATACAATGGAGAAAAGATAATGTCTTCAATAATAGTGTTAGGAAAATTGGACAAATATATGCAAAAGAATAAAATTTGACCTCTATCTTAAACCATATACAAAATTAACTCAAAACATTATTTAAAACTTGCATGTGAGATCAGTAACCATAAACGTCCTATAAAACATAGACAGTAAGCTTCTTGACTAAGACTTGGTCAAGACCGAGATTTTTTTTTAACTGATACCAAAAGTAAAGGCAACAAAAGCAAAGACAAATAAGTGAAACTACCTCAAACTAAAAAGCTTCTGCACAGCAAAGGAAATCATCAACGAAATAAAGAGGCAACAAAGGAGAAAAATTTTGTAACATCTATCTGATAAAAGGTTAATACTCAAAATACATAAAGAGCTCACAAAATTCAAAAGATAAATAGTCCAATTAGAAAATAGGCATAATATCTGAATAGACATTTTTTTCAAAGGAGACATACAAATAAGTAACAGGTATTTCAAAAGATGCTCAACATCATTAAT